TGGATGGAGAAGATTGTTGCCAAGTCCAATCCCTTCAGGCTGATGACATAGAAGGTGCGCTCGTCGCCCAAAGCATCCGGAATCTTCACCTCCGCACATGACCTGGTATTCTTCAATGGGTTGCATGGGGATCTAGGCCCAGGTAAACTAGATAAGTTTAAGGCCAAGGGCCTAAAGGCTACCAGTGAGGCCATCAGTGCCTAAAGGCCTGAAGAATGAATTATACAACCGGAAAGCTCGACTGGCTACAGAAAAGGGTCTTCGGTACTGTTGAACCTTTGGGCAAATCACACAGCTCGACCAGCTCTGCCTCCGACACCACACCGAACTCGATGTAAGTTTCAAATCCCCGGGAAGTCGAGTCGTGCACGTTGGAGGGCCGTGCAACATCAGGCTCTTCGTCGCCTGATTTCACAGCGGTCCAAGTGGCGAACTCGGCCCGATTATTGGGATTCCTGTCGAGCCTGCACACCGCAACATTCAATTAGGGCCCTAATTTACACAAGCAGTCTATCATTCTAAACTCCTAAAAACATGCATGCACTTGACAACACAACCCTGCCCGGCCAGGTGCAACCGCAGGCCCACGTTGATCCAGGGTGGACGTCTGTCCAGGTGGAACAACAAAGGTAACAAGCGTCGCTGACCTTGTTGCCCATCCCGTCCTCACTGGCCATCACCGTCTCCTGGTCCAACACTTCTATCGCACTCTGTTTCGCCACGCACATGAACCCTGCTTGTATCGTTTCTTGCGAGCACAAAATTCTGGGAACAACCTGCTGGTGACAGCCTACACTGTCAGTATACAGTGTGATATGTTGACTATATACCTACTTTGGATTATAAACCGTTCTTTCGGGGCTTGAACTCCCTCTCTGATGCGACGGCCCGGGCACACAACAAATGACTGCAAAGGACATCAAGTTTTGGGAGCAATGTCCTCGGACGTAGCCCCGCAATTGTGGCATGTTGCCACAGTTCTCTTCATCTTCTTCGACTGTCGAGTCGAAGATCGTATGCTTTGACCATCATCGATGTCGGCGATGTCGGTTTCCCCCCGTTTGGGGGTAGCCTTGGCCTTACCCTTGGCTCGCGACGTCTCCTGAAAACAGGGGGTAATTCAAGTGGGAGAACATAGCTTTTTGAGGGCATCTGAATATCTAGTTAAAGTTCAGTGAATGATACTTCAACAGTAGACTGAGTAAACAATGGCCCCAGTTGTTCCTTGTTTAGCACTAGGACGACTAGGAGACTAAGACTAGGAAAGACATCCAACGAGGACCGCCACTTCGGAACAAACCACAGAACCACTCGGAGATTGTAACCATTCATCGGTCCTTCGGCATGCTTCCGCAACTCTTCACAAAGGCTGCACACTGCCCTACCGAAGCTGAAAATGCTGATAGGAACAATCGACACTGCTCAGTCCCAAGCCTTGCGCAACTGCAACAAACCTGGGTGACCTATGGACAGGTCTGGCAGCAAGCTCCTGAGTGCTACAAGGTACCATTTACTTCGTTTTCCAAGCTCAGCCGCCAGGTCGCTAGGTCCAGGTAGCAGTGTCGCATGGCACTGACACAACGCCGATTCCACTAGACGCTGCACAGCACCTTGCAGATCTGCAGTTGCTACTCACTAGCAGCTAGCACTAAGTCAGAGTGAACACTGTTGCCACAGGCCATTGCAATAAGCAGGCCATGTTCAAACTCCCAGACACAAACAAAAGGTCATACACACAGCTGCCACATGTGTCCGCAGTTAGGGATGCTAGACTGTTCAAACACAAAGTCCACACTCCATGGCTGCCCAAAATAAAGAAACAACTGCGTTACACATTCTGCATTCAAGTCTAAATTGACCAACATGAAGCTGACTGCTCAACACGATCCCTGGGGCTCTGGCAACCTTGCAGTCAAATTGCACTGCAGCAGATCAGGATTCTACGAAAGCCGGGCTGAGCTGTTGTGAATTAGTTTGGCAGCACAGGCAGGCACACAAGCATCGACTCAGTTAGCAACGCACACTTCATCAAAGGAAAATTACAAATCCCACGCTCCGCCTGACTGTACTAGCCCGAGCCCCGGCCACTGTGCACTGCTGTAGCCTGCTGTTCCAGCGCTCTAACACATCTTTGATTTAGGGAACTGCTTGCAAAGATAGATGCACCAAATCACAGCTGCCACACAAGGCAAAGCAAAGCCCTCCCCGGCCAGCTGGGAGATACAACTCTCAGACAGGTTGGGTAGGCTTAACGTTTGAGGCTGGCCGTGCAAAAGCATGAGTTCACGGCCGGTCAGCACACTATCACGGTCAAAGGAATAAATCACCGAGCTTGTCGACAAACTGTGGTTCACTCCGTACTTGTTGGTGTGGCTGCCACGACTGAATGCTTGCGACACGTCCATGTACTGCCCACGCATCAGCGCAGAGAGATCACCATCAAGAGGAAATCGGTTTTCTGTACACTTTTCAATGACATAGCAATCGAGAGCATCCAAAATTCTCGGTGTCTTCGGAAGCCCTTGGCCTTTAAATCCATCACGTCCTGTCCATGGCTTGCAAGTAGAGGGGACCTTCATAGCAGCTCGAAAGTCAGCTGCCTCCTTCTCCCACACAGTCGCGCCCTCTGTGTCAGGTACTCGATGCTCCTGAAGATGATGTCACTATACTTTGCAGAATTACACATGATTGTCAATGAGCAGTACCCTCCTCTGCATGGCCGCTCTATGTCAGCTGCAAGTATATAAGCACGTTCTCCGAAGGTGTGTGCGTGTGTGCTAACACTACCTCCTTTCTTAGCAACCCGTGCACCGCAACAGGGACAGGCAGCCCGAGAGGGGATGGTTGGGCGTCGGGCCAGTTTGCTTTTGGAGCTGGGGGGCTAGGAAATGAACCCCTCTCGGCTCGAGAAGGGGGGGGTTGCTTTCGGGGCTGGGGCGGCTGGAAATTGGTATTTTATGGCTTTATGGAACGCTTCCTGGGTTGACGGTGTTTGGTGGTTTGCGGGAACGGGTGGCAGGGGCCACAACGCGACGTACCCCAGCCCGGGCCAGCATCCAAAGGGAGGGCTCAGCACAGGCTCAGCAACTCCATTTTGAGGCTCTTTTTTAACCCATTCTCAATCCCTTTTTTGGCACTTCGAATCCCTTTCTTTTGTGCTTTCAATCCCTTTTTTTGTGCTTTCTACCTGGTTCTGTGGCACACTATTTTCTCACTTTTTTCTCACTTTTTTCTCACTTTTTTCTCACTTTTATACTATAAATTGAGAGAAACCAGATTTTTGCTCCAATTCCGACCAGGCAGCCTCGATCTCTCACTTTTTCTTCACTTTTTCCTCACTTTTACACTATAAATTGAGAGAAACCAGACTGGCTCCGAAATTCCCACCACCACCCCAAAAGTGGCCCAGAAGTGCAAAAAGAATGAGAAAATAAAGAAGGCATGGTAAGTGCATTCTCGGAAACAAAGCGCACAAAATGCATCTCAGAAAGCGCCGAAAAAGGGTCGGAAAGTGGAGTCTGTCTGTAGGGCCGGAAACAGAATGCAAAAATAATGACTCTGGCCTCCGAACACTGGGCACTGGGCTCCACCCCGCCCCCAATCCATGTCGTCGAGTTTCGGCGACCTCCCCGATTCCATAACTTGGATTCCATCCGCCTCAAACATTCCCCAAGCACCCAGAGCCACGTCTACAGCACAGCCACACACAGTGAACATGTTGAGTTTGCTAGGCACACATCCGAATCTGCTACTACACAGCTGGCATAGGCTTCAGCTTTCACGCTTGAGGCCCTTTAGGGCTTAAGGCGGAGTGGGACACAAGTTGTCTGCTAACTGATGTTCCAAGAACACGTGGGGGTTCTTGATTCGCGCAGAAGCCGACTGAAGCAGACATGCAAAGCATCAAGACATGACAGGTGTCCCGGGCATCCAACTTCTCCAACGCGGCCACACGTTCCGCACAGTCCACTGGAAGCAACAACTGTGAGAGCTCGACTGCGGGCTGGGCCTGGAGAAGAGAACAGAAGTCCTGCGCGGTCCAGTCAACCCGGGTCTGAATCTAGGTTCGAGTGTCAACAGCAGCACAAGTGCAAACGCAAGCAGCACTGACTCACACGTCACACTCCGGTAGTCCGACAACCAACAGGTTTCTGCAAATAAGAAGCTGCTCACACTTTGTGCTCTACTAAGTCATTTGCCAGTCCAACCCTAAAGGTGTGTAAAGGAACGTCCTGGTAGGTCTTTCTCAACTTCTTCGCATCTGTGCTGTCGTAGTAGTCCTTGTGGAGGAAGACCAAGTAGATCCTGTGCCAAAGGCCATACGGTATCGGACGGATGATTGGGCAGCTCAGCTGGTCTCGGCTTTGAGAATTCAGGCTGTAGTATCGTTGTGCCACGAACCTTCCTTTCCAAACTGTACACCCGAACCCTGGACAACAAAACATTCCCCTCAAATTACACGACACGTGTTCCTGTTTCAGGGCTCACGGTTTGAGGCTTGGGAATTGTATTTTGCATTACCGTTTAGATGTTGGGCGTGGGATGGCGTGGGCTCTCAGGTTCTCCTGGTTGTTGCACATACGACTGGGTCCTTGAGCATGCTACTTGAAATCCAAAGTAGCCTACGTGTTCGGCTGCTACATGCTAGCATACATACGTTTTCAGGAGTGGGAATTGTATTTTGCATTACCGTTTAGGTGTTGGGTGTGGGTGGGGCTTTGGCTTTGGGTTCTCCTGGTTGTTGTACATACGACTGGGTCCTTGAGCATGCTACTTGAAATCCAAAGTAGCATGGAAAGGCGGCTGCTACACGTTCGGCTGCTACATGCTAGAACACATGCTCTCCCAGCTTACAGCCACAGCTGGTCCCGCGCACAGCCGCAGCAGTCATTTCTGACGGACAGAATGAACTGCACTTCTCTGCAAGCCAGAACAAATCACTAGATTCGATGACCTCTGGCTGCAAAGCACTGTAGGCACTCACACAAAGCCAACAGATGTCACTTGATGACCTCTGGCTCAGACGATTCGCCATCGTCCTTTGCACGCTCATATTCAGCGATGCTTCTGGCCCCTGCACAATTCTCATAGAAGAACTGCCTGGCAGCCTTTCGGTCAGCTTTTGTCACCTTGACAATGCCATCCTTGTGATCTTTGGAACACGCACAGTCACTTGCTTGCCGCAACCAAGCAACCAAAAGGCCCAAGGGCCTGCCCTGGCCTGGATTGGCAAACCCACGCTTGGTGGGATTGACAGTTCTTGTTTTCTTGCACTCAGCTTCCTCGGAAGATGCATGCTCGGGCTTTTTGCAAACTGCAACGAAATTGCGCTGCTCGGTGTTGTACCTGATCTCACCAAGGCCCGGTAGCACCACAACTGTGGTTGGCTGTGGTCGTCGACGTGCGACAGTCTCCACGTTGCCGGAGCCAGAGGCTGGCTCAGCAATCCCAGCATCGGGCCCAGAAGCGACTTCAGTTCCTGGTCCAGGTTCGTGCCGGGGGTGGGCTGCACTTGCAGCCTCTGTTGTCTCACCTTCCTCAAAGAATGCTTCGAGCTGAGCCAGGACATCATCCTCATCAGAGCCAGATTCACTTGGCTTGTCCTCGCAGTCACTAGCACGACCCTCAATGAAGTCTTTGAGAAGCTCGTCTTGCCGTTCCAGCTCAGCTCGCCTGGCATCTTCTTCCACTTGGGGATCCTGAAGCGACTCCTCCAAGAAATCAGGCTCACGGGACTCAAACAGTCCGCCAAGGCCGCCTTCGGGTTGCTCGGCAGCTTCCTCAGCCACAGGTGCCTCGGCCTCAACCGCACCTTCCAAAGTTGCAGCACCGCTGGCAGCACTGGCACCAACAGGAAGGCCTCTTGCACGTTTTGCTTGGGGCTCTGAGGTGGCACGCCCTCCTCTCTTGCGACCCTGTTCTTTGGCAAGAGCTTCTGCTTTGATTTTTTCCTGTTCAAGCTCCCAACCCTGCCAAACGCAAAAACTGGGCACCGACTCCAGCTCTCGAACCAGAACCCAGTTCGGAACCATCTCCGGCACAGTCAGCCAACGGTCCTACACTGAACTCGGGCCCCTGTTTCTTAGGGTCTTAGGGTCTTGAGTCTTGGTGAGAAAAGGAAGCAAAAAATACAAAATATTTCTGGGGACCCCTGAGGTTCATCGGACACCATGACAAAGGCTGTGACAGTCCAGCTCAGATTGAAATTCAATCCGTTGGCGAAATGAATCAAGGATTCCGCAGCTTTGTAAGGCCGACTGACGTTCAAGCGCTGCAAGCCATCTGTTCGTGGCTCCTGATCAGGTTCCAGCTCCAGAAAAGCCATTCTCCATGTGCTTAAATTCGTATGGCCCACATGCAACCACATCGTTGTTTCGTCATCTGCTTCGGCCGTGGAACCCAACGCTCGCAGGGCCATCTCCGACCAAGAACGATCTAGAAAGCCAAAAGCACTGTCGTCGGCAGAAATCTTGGTGTGGGTCAAGCGAAGCACTATGAATGATTCCTGAAGCAGTCTGCGGTGTGTGACAAGAACAGTTTGTCGTTCTTGCTCTGCTGCTGTCGGCGCGGGCCTCGGCTTCGCTTTGGCCTTGGATTGTGCCTTTCGCTTGCGCTTCGGAGTAAACTGCGGCCTGAGGTTCTGCACCAGTTGCCGATGCAGCCTGAGTGCCTTGCTGCCCAAGCCCTCGCAAACACACATCCCCAACTCAGAACAGAGTGTGCGGGCAGAAAGGGGCTGTTCCAAAGGCACTGCTTGCTCATCGTGGATGTAAAGATTGTGAAGTCGCTCCCATTCTGTACGCAAAGCAGCTCTTACTTGGCTTCGCTCACCCCGACTCAAAAGAACCTCATGGATCACTTCAACAGAAAAAGAAAAACTAGTGATATTTCATTTAAGAAGGGGTGATATGGGCTGGAGACCCCGCAACCTAATTGCTACTTGCCCTGATTTATTGACGTATGAATGAGATACTCTCTACACCATACACGAGAGATCACGAGAGTATACTGACTATACCTATGCCAATGCCTATACTCGCAGCAGTTTGTGAAAAGCCAGAATTGCCAGGCCTCTCCAAAATCATCTGCTCGAATGTGCAGAGTTCTGCCATCGAGGCCAACAAGAGCTGGAAAGGAGGGCTCTTGCAAAAACACACACTCCGAAACGATGTCATCGAACACAACTGATTCATCCTTGTACGCCAGCAGAGCAGTTCTCACAGATTCTTCATGCTGCTTCAACTCCGAGTCCTGTTGACTGATATCCTGTTTCACAAGGTCCAATGAATGTTGCAAGTCTTGCTCCACAGCGTCTGCAGCAACTAAAGCATTGCTGCTAGTACTTCGCACACGCTCGGCTGGGGCCTTCAAGTTCCGTTCAGCAGCAAGCTTGGACATCGCAGCTCTCTCTGTATAGCGGTCCTTCGTGTCGGAATCCAAAGACCGGAATTTCTGGCTGAGGCTTTTCATGTTGACACCTGCACTGGCGATCTTCCCTTCGCACTCGTCGCTCACAAAGGCATACCAAGGATTCGCACGGTGAAACCCCTGCTTGTCGTCGACCTTTTCCTTGCTCTTTGTCTGGCACTCGGTCTCTTGCATCAGAACTTCCGAACGGTTTGTGGCATTGGTTCTGCACGCCCAATCTGCAGACACCATTGTCAGCTGGGACCGCTTTGCTTGCACAGAACGAATTGTGTGAATTCGCCTTGTGGTCGCATGTCTCGATTCAAGATCAGAGATATCTAGGCTGAATTTGCAGGCCAGGGCTCGCACGACATGCATGAAATCAGCGGACGGTGACAGTTCGTCCTCAGCAGGGAAGTGCTCGAGAAGCAGCCTTGAAAGTGGGCAGAGCAAGCACTTTTTCACTGCCCCCAAACCCTTCCCACCATCGAGGCACTGAAAGATCTGGACAGGGAAGGATCTCCAGGATGTGCCCAAGTAAAACTCAGCCCCGCAGGTAGTCGAAGATAACATCCGGAATGCCAGTGCCTGGTGTTTCAGCAGAAAATCTGAGCGATGGATGCCGATGATTTCGGTGTTGAACACACGGTCTGCTTCTGTGCGATAGCATCTGAGATCCGTCCCACGAGCAGCTTCCAGCACCGCATAGGTGCGTGGCTGGCCTCTCGCCTGCTTCGCCCGCTCTTCTGACTCCCAGAGCTTTGAGCTCTTTGTCAAAAGGCGATGCACTAGGTTTAGCAGTGGCCGCAGCACCAATGCCATCAGGAGCAGGACCGCGCCCGGGCTCGACTCGACCCATAGGCGGAATCTCTCACGCATTCTGATGTTCAAGACTTTCCAGTCTATGTCGCCCGTCAACGCCTGAAGCTGGGGGTCGTCCTTTACATCTCCAGCCTGGGCATTTGCCCCATCTCCAACTTCATCGTCACCTGGATCATCAGCGACTGCCTGGGCATCGGCAGTCCCTGCTGCAGAGGGTGCAGCAGGCACCTCAGCTGTGAAAAAATGAGCAACGATGTCTCGAAGAAGCCCGTGGGTCAGCGCGAGCAGGCCAAAATACTCGTAAGAATGTTCGAAGCCAGTCCATTTGGATCTGAAAAACATTGGTGGCTTGTGAGGAAGAAGAACTGGGATCAGATGCCGTGTCATTGCTTCCAGAACGGTAGCACGCGAAACCGACCAATGAGGTGTCCAAAAGCTTACACTGTCTGTGTCCTGGAGGTCATCGTTCAGGAAATACGAGAAAATGCATCTTTTCTTCTGCACAAGCTTCTTTGCATTCCTGCTGCCTCGCGGGGGAACTGGAAGGAAAGCATCTAGGATAGCTTCTCTGTAGCGGCCATTGTAGTCGTCTCGAGGTGGCACACCTGCACGAACTTTCAGCTTCTGCTGGAGAACGGCCTCGAGCGATTTACGCAGACGCCGGAGGCAACCACTTTCGCTGAGCGCCAGGGCAGCACTGATCAGCGCAGACACGTGCCCAGACACGAATCGCATGCACCTGCCTTCTATCAAGGCGACTTTATGAACGTCGCAAAAGTAATGCGAGGTCGCTCCATGCGGCGGAAGCTCCGCAGACATCATGTTTTCCGCAGCCACATTGGCCGAGTACCGGTCGGTGCAAACTTGATGCACCAGCAGCCGAAAGGCCTTACTCGAATCTCGCAGGCCAGGTATGGCAGACAGTAAGTCATCCTGCACCTTCTTCGTGTTGAGTGCTGTTGTTCTATCCAATGCTTGCAACCAGGTCGGGAGCAGCCAGTCCATGTAGCAATACTTCCCTGTCCGTGTGTCTTTAAGCAGAACGGACATTTCGATCCGAGACTGCATAACCTTAGCAGTTGCATTCTGTTCTTTCTCATTTGTCTTGTCGTTCTTGCGAAAGCTGACACAGATCTTTGATGGTGTTTCGTCATACTTTCGTCGGATCTGTAGCAGCAATGCTACATAAGGGCAACCATCCACACGGACCATGGCAGCGATATGAATCAGCATGACACCAATTAGGAAAGCACTGAAAAGGATGAGGAAGCAGGCAGCTTGCTGCAAGCCGGCAGCCAACTCAAAGCGATCAGCCTCCAAGGACTTGGACTCTGCAACCATGCTAGCAACCGGGCGCCGTGTCTTGAAAAGCATCCGGTACAGCTCTTGGAACTTCGTCAGTGCTTTTTGCCTTGCAAGCTGCAACTCATGAACACCACGTAAGAGCCTTTGCTGAAGCTCAGACCCCACAGCCAAATTGGAAACTCGCATCCATGCACCGTCCTCATCGATGCCGACACCCTTCTTGGAGCCCAGCTTTTGGAGCCTCACCTCCTTGAGCACCTCCCTTGCACGTACAACGTTCTGCACTTCTGGCTCTGGATCGGAATCCGGGTGCTGCTCTCTCAATGCTGACAGCAATTGTCGAAACTCACGCCTTCCCCCAGGCCTTCCAGGCCTGTTTCCAGAAGATGCCATGTCCCTGCAGACCCTTCGCGTGCACACCACTTCATGTGCCCTCGAATCTAAGATGCCCTACAGGCAGGCCTGGGCCGGAAAAATGTCACGAAATGAAAAGTAAATCAGTTGCACAGCTCTGCAGAGACCCGAGATACCCTAGGCCCTAGGCTCAAGTTTCGAACTTGTGAAATCCAACTCATGCGACACACGAAGACCCTTGCTGATTCAGATCAGCACTGCACTTGACCCTGCCGGCCTCTCGCGGTGGATCTTCGCCCAATGCTGGTAATGGGCCCGCAAGGTCAAGATCCAATAACCTGCTTTGCCACTCTCTTTGATCTGCTTGTCCACATTGAAGAGAAACCTGCACCAGAACTGGCAGTGAGTGTATATCCAACACTAACAACATGTGTATGTGCGTATTACAAAAAAGGTAACTCTTGTGCTGTGTTTGGTCTGAATTGAAAACAAGATTTAACTGATGAGACTACCCGGCAAAGCTTCGCTTTGGCCACAGCATGACTCAGCAAGTTGCATAGAATAGGACTGTAAGAGTGCTTTACTAGAGGACTGCAGCGATCTGGAGTCCAGATTTGCCCGGACTTGCAATGTAGACCTAGACTTAGACTCCACCTAGAGGCTCATACCCTGCCCCTTTTTTACGGCGCCTACTTTTTAAGATAACAGACCCTGAGACCATAAAACTAGGTATCCAAAAAAGGGGTAGGGTATGAGCCTCTAGGTAGACTCAGACTGTACCTGATTTGACTAGACTGAACCCTCCGAAACCAGATTTAGGCTAGCGGCTAGTGACATACACAATTTTCCCAACTGTGCCCAGAATACTGAGAGCTGCCTTTATCAATAAGTCACAGCTTCAACCTGCGCGCACAAACAATGCATGAACTGCCGGTTGGCCAACACGGTGAGAAGCTCTTGGCCTGTGAATCAATCTGAGACTCATGGGAATGTGTGCCTTCTTTTGCAAAAATCATAGATACTGCGAAACTCCGTCTATCAGTCTATCAGCATGTTTCGGGGTCTCGCAGCAACCTGGCGGTCGAGTCTAGGACCTAGTCTAGGAGTCCAGCCTAGCTGGATCAAGAATCAAAGAAACTGCGAGATGCCCCCGACGTGCCTTCGCATCGGAGTTGACAAGGTGTCTGAACCGCTCTCCATTTTGTCGAAGCCGGCGACTTGCTCCATTATAATGCATCTGTGGTCGCCTTGAACAATCATGGACTTTGCATCCCGGAAAGTCACCTCTGCAAGTGGATGCCTGGCAACTGAGTCGTCCCTGTAACGCTTCATGCGGAGGTCACTGAAAGGGTTGCACGGCGTGCCGAACACACAGAGATCACAAGCTTCCATCGGGCAGCAGGAAACATCGCTGCACTTCTCATGGCGCAAACACTTTCGCCCCTCAATTTGCTCCTGCATCGTGCCATGCATGTGTTGGATCTCAAAGTTCTGCTGAGCCACAGCACGGAAAGTTGCATTCGGCTCCGAAGCCCCGATGGCCTTGAAGGGGATGTCCAAAGCCTGGCAGCAGGAGAGGCTGTGCTGTGGCGAAGGGCTTCATGATTTAATGCGTTGGTATTTCTGGCCTAAGCCTAGCCTCTAAGCACAGCAGCGGGCTTGCACTCAGAAGTACATCCAAGCCCTGGCCCTTGTCATGTCACCAGTCCTGGTCCTACTCATGACACACGAGTCAATCACACTCAGCTGCTGCAGCGAATGTCCAAACACGGTCAAGGTCACTACTGGCAAACAGCATAACATGAGACTGCCGCTTCCGGCCTGCAGCACTGAAGCTTCCCCAAACGAAGCTGTGCAGGATGACATGAGGGTGATGGGCTCCAAACGTTTCTTCCCACCAGGCTTCACACCGCGCAACAAACGCTTCAGTGTAAACACGTACCATTCCTGAGCTGCTGAATTCGATCGCAAATGCTTCACTGAACCACCGGCGCAAAAAACACATATGCCTTCTGCCCGCACTTACCGTAGTTCCAAGGCTGCCATCACGAACCGGACCTACGCCCTACGCTGCACCTCCCGGACCTACACTCCTACACTGGGCAGACCTACCACTTACACACATGAACTTGCCGAGGCCTGACAGGCTCATGATGACAGAGACATTGACATAGACATAAAGAGATAGACATAGACATAGACGTTGACATACAGTGACACACTGCTAAATGACTTTGATGAAAGGAAAGCAGAGGATCATCTGAAGTTTGAGCTGACAAAGGGATGCTTCCAGCCGACTCGCTCTCTGTATCAGACACATCTCGTACCTCATCCGCCTCGCGGACAGCGTCGCACTCTTGCTGGAAAGCAAGCAAGCTTGCTTCGGTGAGCGCCCTCCAGGTCAACATGGGCGCTGCGAAAAAACTCTGTGCTGCTGAAGCACTGGAAAAAACACAAAGTTTACGCACTGCACAGCTTGCCGACTGTACCCCACTGTTGCAATACAATGTAGTTCTAGCTATGCAGCTACGCCATGCCATGCCCGGACTTTCAGGACGACTTGAACTAAATACTCACAAGCCGGCAATGAGAAGATGCTTTCTGCTATCGGTGACAGGCACTAACTGCTAGCAGAAGCTGAAGCTGCTATCACTGTCACTGTCACTGCTCACGATCACACTGGCGAAGCTCAAGTTGAGCCTTTGAAATGCCGCAGCCGATGCAGCGAATTGACTTCCACGTTGCACAGGTCATGCTTGACCCTAAGCTCTATTTGAAAACAGAAATTGTTCTGCAACATGTCAGCTTGCGATCACAAAAGCAAGCCTGGCAACCAGTGCCCACAAAAACAATATATCAAGAGTACCAACCAAACTCACGAACGTGTTTTTGAAAACCATGTAACAACTAAGTCATTCACTGGTCAGTAGTCGATGGTCACAGTCACTCGTCGCGAGGCCCTAGGCCCTAGCCACTATCCAAGCTACCACCGTTGCTAGCACACCGAACACTCTTGTCACGTTTCTGTTTCGCTGTAGTTGTGGCCTGCTTGCAACAACAATTAACAGACACTGCCAAGTTGCACTGTACAGTACCTTGCTACACTACATCATGTGCAACGTGGTCGAGGACCGCAGATCCAAGCTCACCTCTGTCTTGACCCCAGCATTCGGTCCGACGTCTACCATCGGCTACAAATGGTCGGCTTCACTACCTAGCAGGACCTAGCCCTACCTACCAGGACGTTCCCACAGTACGAATATGTGGCCGCCGCTGTAAAAAAAGGGTAAAGACCGAAACCTTCACTCATGCTTGCGTGTTTTGTGAGGATGTCGAGCGAATTGCCCAATTGTACCCAGCCAAGAATCTATAAACAAATAACTGAAGGATGTAGCCAGGGAGCCTGGTCTGTGGTTGAATGAACAGTCGTGGGGTTCCCGGACACATAGAACAACACGAGTCTTCGATTCAGGTCATTCGGTCACACCACTGATTGGTGTTACGGCGGCGGGTTCCTCGCGCCTCGTCCATGGTGCCCTAGGGCCCTAGGGTCACACCACTGACGTTTTGTTTAAATGGAAAAATACGAGTGTTCGATTCATGTCATTCGACGATCCATGGGGCCCTGGGGTCACACCACTGACTGCCCTTCCGGCAGCGGGGTCCTCGTGCGTCGTGCACCGGGAAAAAACACGAGTGTCAGGTCACTCGACGATCCATGGGGTCATACCACTGACTGGTGTAACGGTCGTCGGGTCCTTGTATGCCGTACACCGTGCACATAGCAGCCATAGCAAAATAGGTGAGTTCGACTCAGGTCATTCGGCCATCCATGGGGTCCCATCACTGACTGGTGTTACGGTCGTTCCTCCTACGCATAACAACAAAATACGAGTGTTCGATTCAAGTCATTCGACGATCCATGGAGTCTCACCACTGACTGGTGTTACGGTCGTAGGGTCTTCGTAGACATGGGAAACACGATTGTTCGGTTCATGTCAGTCGACGTGCCATCGGGTTATACACCTCTATTTTTTCGCTGATTCTAACAGCTGTAGCACTGTAGCAGCCCGGCGGTTCTGTCAGTTTTCCCATTGTTTTCGTTTCTCTCTCTCTCTCTCTCTCTCTCTCTCTGTCTCTCTCTCTCTGTCTCTCACTCTCACTCTCACTCTCACTCTCTCTCTCTCTCTCTCTCTCTCTCTCTCTCTCTCTCTCTCTCTCTCTCTCTCTCTCTCTCTCTCTCTCTCTCTCTCTCTCTCTCTCTCTCTCTTATATGTTTGCTTGTGCTTGGTTCGAGTTGTCTTTGCTTTCGCTTCGTTCTTTCGATCGCAATTATTTCGGAAAATATTCCGAATAAAATCCGCAAAACAGCCGAAAACAGCAGCATTTTCTTCGTACTTTCGATCGCAATTGTTTCGGAAAATAATCCGAATAAAATCCGCCAGAAGTCTGAGGACAGAAGCGATGGTGGCTTCAGATGATCATGTTCCTTTATTCTTGCTTTTTTCCATAGGGATTCCCAATAAATTGCCTGAACTTGCTTGAACCTCTCACTTTCTTCTCATTTCTGATCGCATGTTGTTCTCATTTCCAATCGCATTCTAAACGGAATGTGTTCCTCAATAATATAGTTTAAGACAAATCCTAATGGTAGCCTGTATTCTCTTCATAAGCACAGGCGAAGATCCTGAAGCTCACGTTGCAAAAGCTCAAAGCGAGTCTCCAGCATCGTAGGTGTGCGCGGGGAAGAAGTGGGCGCCATCATGGACGAGCGGGATCGCGTTGCCGGTTCTGGAGGGAGACTGCTGTCTTCAAAGACATCTTGCAGATACCCAGAAACTGGGGACTGCAAGGCTGCAAGCCGCCGCCACAACTCGGCGTCTTCTCGGTCGTGGTTGTAGTCCATGGCCGCAGTCCCAGCAGAGAGCTGAACGCGTTCACCGTCCGAGGCACCATCGAAGACATCAGCAAGATCAGCAAGATCCAGGCCACCGCCGGCGTGATCAGCCAAGCGGCCTTCATTCGTGTCCTCCAGGTCCATATCTTCTGAGGCCAGCGACGCCTCATCGAAAGAGTCCAGCATACGATCACGCCGAACCTGATGGAGCCACAAGAAGGCTCGAGCCATCAGAAGCTCTCGCCGCAGCAGCAACCAGAGGACCCAGGGAGTCCACGAAGAAGTAGCTCGCCAGAAGGCCTGGGAGCTGAAGGGAGGAGCGCCGCAGCCAGCAGCTGAAAAAGGGACCGCAGAGCCAACACCGAGTGCTCTGGCGCCCCTATGGCAACTACCCCCCAAAATTCAAAAGCTTGATGCCAAACTTCGGATGTGATCGCTTCTCACTCTTCCATGTAATGTAATGTAAAAAGAGTGCAAAGCGTGTAAATCGAAAAAGGTCGAAACACAAATGAAATATTTCAAATTGTGTGACGACAAATTGAGATATATTTGCTCGAGCTAACGCGAGGTGAAACATTCAGTTCTGGGTTCGCTTCGTGCCTACGCCCCACACAACAGACGGAAGCATCCGCTCACAGACACTAAACGTAATTGCTGTTTTATCTACTGAGCCGGGGCAACCGACAACTTTGGCCAGAAAGCAAATGACCTTTTCTGGTCAACCACCGACGATGTTCTCACTTGCTGTACAGGACATTGCCCGATTAAGCCCTCTTCGTTTGGTTTCCCTGGTTGGCCTCCTCGCAGATTAAAGCATTCCCAAAGGTATATGGGAAAGGAGCAAGACAATATAATTTATGGAAAATTCGCGTCGGCCCCGGCCGATGCTGTCAGAATTTCTTGCTTCGAGCGCGAGGCCGCCGTAGACGTTTCGCCCAATGAATTCAGTCATGCATTCTGGTGAGAAACCTCAGCCACTTTGGGCGAGGGCCGGCCCTACGACCTAGAGAGAGTTGGCTAGTTACACCCGCCAAAACCTCAATCTCTTTGGACGAGGGGAGGCCCTACCCAAACTGTACAGGCGGGTTCCTACCGGGCCCAGGCTTCAGCCTCAGGGAGTCAACCTCAGCCACGAGGGCGAGGAGCCTCAACCCGAAGGTGAGGAGCACTGGGCAAGGAGTTGGCTCAGGGCCTCGAAAGGCGTTCCAGAGCCTGCGAAGCCTCCTCTGCCAGCTCGTCTTCCATCTCTCGGCGACGTCGGGCGATGTACTGAGCGGTGAGGCGAACATGACGAGAGGTCATGATGTGCCCTTCCATGAGCTGCTGGTTGGAACAAGCCACCGAGCAGGCATAACACCTCAGGAAGTTATCCGAAATGATCTGCACATGGGGAGGAGACTTCGGTGCAGCCGAACCTCGAACCTGACGGTGAGGGGGCGGAGAGGGCGGCTCAGTTGCCTCGTCCTCGGAAGGTCCAGAGGGATTGGCAGGAGCAGGGCTCAACTCTGGCCCTTCGGCCAGGGTGGCAAGGGGTGCGTGAAGCACGGAGGATGCCGAGGTGGGCTCGGAGATACCGGATAGGGGAGCCGGCGTCAGTGAGGATTGGTCGCTGGCTTCCACTGCCAGGTCCAGTGGAGAGTTGGATGGGCCCGGCTCCGTGGGGGTTTCAAGGGCCCTGGTGCTGTAGGTGCCTGTGGCTGCTTTTGCCTTTGGCGAGGGTGGGTCAGGTGCGACCACAGCGGCAGGGGAAGACGGCTTGGGCACAGTCTCAGTCGGAGCTGGAGGAGCTCGACTCTCAGGAGCCGGCGGCCCTGGCTTGCGAGGGTGAAAACTGACCGGGTGTTCCCACAGAAGGGGAATGCACAGGGTTGTGGAACCTCAGCCGCAGGGGGCGAGGGAGGCGGAGAGGGAGCTGGTGCAGTGGCCACTCTGGGTTGCGAAACCTCAACCGGCGAGGGCGGCACTAAAAGGACCGGCTCATGGTGCTCTCCAAGCTCCCAGCCATCGACAAGGAGCCACCTGGTGCCCTGAGGCAGCTGACTCCCTATCGAGCGGTGGTTGCCCAGGAAGCGGCCCTCAGGCCACACTCGGGCAGACCTGCAGCGGACCTGGGCGCACTCGGCCAAAAGAAACTGGAGGGAGGCCAAGGGATGCAGAGTGATCCTGTGCCAGGATCCTTCGCCTTGGTGTCGAACCTCGACTTCCAGCCATTGGGCTTCAGGCACGTCGACCCGTCCTGGGAGGAGGGGACGAGGTGGAAGAGGAGCTGGGGAAGGCCCACGGGCCGGCCATGGGAGTCGCCCGAGGGGAGGAAGAAGATGAGGAGGTGTCCTCCCTTGCTACATCAACTTCGGTCGGAACCTCAGCCACAGAGGGCGAGGAAGGGCCAGCCGAAGCTGAGGAAACCGCCTTAGACTTGCAAGCCGTGGTTCGGGTGACTTGAATCGATGTCCATAAGATGTGTTGTGCGTCAGAGAACCGGAGGCTGGCCGAGGCCGTAATAAGAATAGCCCCCAAGAAGAGTCTAAACCCCACCGAACCTGATTCCAGAAGCAGGGCCCTCTCACAATAGGCCAATACGAACAGCGGAAGAGGGAGAGCTTCCCTTCTATCAGAAGTAATGCGAGCCTCCACTCCAACCAGAAGGCCTCCGTAGAGATCAGGCAGAGCGAGCCTAAACGTCTTGGCCGCCCAGCGAACTGCCTTCAGCCCGTTGGTGACATGTGAGCCTGACTTGTGCATGGAAAGGAGAGCATCGACCACTTCCAGCTGTCTGATAGCTGCCCAGTTTGCATTCAAATCCTGTAATGTGCCCAAAAATTTCAGTAAATGGGAAAGATAGCGAACCAAAGTGCTTTCCGAAACTGACTTCAGCAGATTTTGCAACAGAATGGACGCGTGTCGAGACTCCCCAAGCTCCTGCAATACCGATGAAATAGTCTGCAACAATGGTTGAACCAGGGCCCACATCTTCAAGCACTTCTGCCAAACTTCGGCATGCAACATTGACGATGATTTGAAGCCCTCATTCCCCCGAGCGCGGGAGCCACCCGACCCCACGGCCGGTGCAATGAAAGGCCTGGGAAGAGAAGCTGCCGAAACCCCACAAGCTGAAACCACAGCGAGCTCCACAGGCGCTGGATGCCTAATCGGTGCACTCCTGAAATAATCCGCAGCCCTGCGAGGGGCCGGAACAGGGGCAGGGTTCTCCCTAATATACTGCGTCGCAAGTCGAGGCCTCGCTGTGGGAGGTGACAAGGGATTGGGCTCAATCGAGACCCCACGAGGTCGCCTAGAAGCTTCTGACAGTCGCACCGGACGCATGGCCCCCGAAAGTGAGGGCCGACTCACATGCTGCAGTGGCATGAGTGGCTGCACCGCTGCACTCGCTCCCTCTGAAGATGGCCCCATTGAGCTCAAACGCCACCAAACAACAATCAGACCAGGGCCCCGCTCCACGATGCGACGAGAACCACCTGGCAGCCGGGGCGGCTAGGAAAGTGACATGTGGAAGCGCAGCACGGTAGCTACCAAGATCGACGGATTTGCAGAGTTCAGGCTACCAGCGAAACCCGCAACTCCTGTAAACCCAGCCCAGCACGGCCTGATGCAGAGCATGAGGGGACACCCCCCCCCTGCTGTGAGCGCTCCTAGATACTAGACACCATTGTGCTAGTTCAAGCATTCAGCTCAACGTCAGATTATGAGGCCCAGCATGTGCAACACCTGTCGCACGGTGCAATGAACCGCATGAGGCTCTGACCATAATTGTGGCTCTCAAAGCCCTTTGAGCCCGCCGAGCGCGGAAAAACAAGGAGTTTGCCCACCCCAACGCAAGAACCAATCAAGCTTGACTGGCACGCATAAGTGCAAAGCATGCTCGCACTGCACCGCATAAAAAGTCCCACAGAAGCTTCTGTGATCGCCGCGACTTTTCACAAACCCCTCGTTGCGCCGGTGCTTTTTTGCTGTAGAAAAACTCAAAACCCAAATTCAAGCGAATATAAGTTGCACTCACTCCGTAAGTATAAAAGTCAATCAACTCATATCGTATCGCATCACTCGGACCCTTCTTTTCTTTCAGGGGGCGCACCGGGTTGCCCGGCCTTAGGCCGCGGGCTAGGCGCACTGCCAACATGCCGTTCGCATGTTGGGCCAACGTAGAGCACAGCCTACGGAGTGGTGTACAACTGGAGTCGCAAGATCGGCCCCAAGCGATCTGAAGTCTCGACGGGTGTGGTGGGAGGGTAGTCGAGACCCATCTCCCACTCTTGAGCAGCAATGTAACACGACGTGGACATTTCACATGCTCTTCAAGGAAATTTCTTCTCTCAAGAAATCACTGCTCGAAAATACATTGCTTAAAGTGGGAGAGGCAGCACACGGGTTAGGGCATTAAGGTTTTTGAGTTTTCTTCGCTCGCCGCCACGGCGGCTCGTCACGAACGCAAAAAGGTACTAGCTGTCGTCGCAGGCTAGACAGCACAGGTACTTTTTGCTGTAGAAAAACTCAAAACCCAAATTCAAGCGAATATAAGTTGCACTCACTCCGTAAGTATAAAAGTCAATCAACTCATATCGTATCGCATCACTCGGACCCTTCTTTTCTTTCAGGGGGCGCACCGGGTTGCCCGGCCTCCCCAGAAAGTAGCAACACGGTACGTTCCCACTCAAGACCAGAGATTACAAGTCGACCAGCGGGATGCCCGAGATGGGGCATGAGCACTTAACTCGCAATGCACCCGAATCAACAAGTGCTCTGAACTCACCGCGTGACGGGTCGTCTGAAGGATTGGATGCGGAAGGGACCCTTGTCCAGTAAGTCCACGATGGACCATGTTTCTCACAGCATTCCCATGTGAGAAGCAGCTCTCGAAAGTGATCACTGTTGGACGTTCCTCGCACAAAGCTGAGAAGGACAGCGTCGTTGTCAACGAAGAAAAGGCAATACTGTCCAGACATGTACTGGTGGAAAGCCTTGCGTGCCAGGGCGACAGCGTACGCCTCAACGGGTCCGATAATATGCTTCAGATGCTGCCTCCATCGGTCTGCCAAGGCACAAGGAACTTCGCAAGAAAAGAATCGGGGCCGCGCATCAGAAGGAGAGTAAAGAATACCTCCAACGGTGTTGCCAGACTGTTCGCTTGCTCCGTCCGTGAAGATCAAAACAGGCTTAGGGGCAACCACACAAGGGACTACCCTAGGGGAACCGAAAGAGAGGCGATCAATGAGAAACTCGAAAGCCTCGATCTCGCGGGGACCCAGGACAAACCGGGATGCGTGGCGTGTGGAAGCGGCTCTCAGCTCCGCCAATGCGAGCTTTCCGGTTCTCCCCATGACTTGCGCATCGGAGAACTGGACACGACCTGCAACCCTGGCAAAAGTACGCATCTTGATGCAACCTTCACTGATGCATTCACGGATGGCATCACACACCTCACTGGATCGGCCTTCCTTGTTCCTAATCCGAATGACACCTTCCCTGGCTCCTTTCAAGTCAATCTCGACCCCAAGCATGGAAGCGACGTCTGCAAATGGGTTCAGTTTGTCAAGGGATGCGGAAAAACCAAGCACTGAGGACAACACAAGCAAGGTGTCCATGGTGGAACCTGAAAGACAGCACGGGCTCATCACTGGATAATCGTCAACGAAGTTGGCCCAGAACAGGAAGACCTCCAAACCTATCCGCCACAGCAACCTAGACAACCTGTTGAAATGGAGCACGGACGATGTGCTTCCAAAAGGCAGAGCCTTACCCTCAAACAATCCCAAGTCGCCATTATCCGGATTGAGAAGGGCAACGACGGAGAAGGCACGATGGCTCGGGTTCAACGCAAATTGGCGATAAGCATTCTTCAAATCAAAGGTGCACAGCTCAGGACACCACGACGAACCCGCCCAAGCAGGGTGCACTCGACCAACCAACGGTGGTCCGCTGGCCATGTCCAGAAAGAATTGATGCTCCGTCGTGTGAGCTCGGATCCAAAAGCGACATATTGCAATGATCTCGTCAAGTGCCCTTAGATCTAGCTTATCCCCATAAGAAAAAGAACCATTAACTAAGTTCTCGGAGTAGTCGTCAATCGGTCTCAACTTGCGCTTGCCTCCAGAAGATTGAATCACGGCGAACCGGCGCACAGGGGCCCATGCGTCGCCGTACCTTCTCGTCAGCTCTTCTTCGGTAAGTGGTCCCTCCAAGAACCCTTCGGCAACCTCAGTCAAAGTCTTATCCCACAGTTCCGAAGAATGCTCATTCAAACCCTCGGACAAAACCTTACCCAAAAGCGCCGGACGGATGTACTTACAGGCCTTAGTAAACTCGTCAGCCGTCCTCTCCTGGGGACGAGGCTCCTTTCTAAAGACACCAGTGGGCTTCTGCCAACCAACCAAACCAAAACCCTTACAAGTATCCTCAAACCATCCATCGTCGGGCCACTTCAAGTCATCAGCAATGCGTTTGAGCAAGAGAAGCCTCTTTGATCCTAACACAGACCTCACACCAGGTTCGAGGCCCTCCTTAAGTCGGGACTCTGGTTCCTCCAATTCCCTGGCCCATTCTAACCACTTGTTGAGAGTGGCCACACGTTGCCTACCAACCCACTCAGGGCCCTTCACCAAGGCCTCATGAAGCTTTCGTTTCACTTCGTCGGGGATGACAGCAAACGTTTCGAAGGGATGCCGTAATCCTTTGGCCTCCTCCAGAAACTCATCCGGTGTTGCATACACACCAACACTAAGTTCGAAGCCACCCGACTCCCCCGTCTCCTGAGTGGCGAGAAGTTTGGAGCCTGCGGGGATGTCACCGATGGCGTGCTGCAAGCAATTTTTATGATCCACAGGCGGAATCTGTGGCACACGACATCTGCAAACGCGACCAAATTCTCTGATGAGGCTCGCACCAAGTTTACCCCGACGCTGCTGTGTGACAGGCGGAGGGCTGGACTGCAGCGGAGACAAAAGGGGGTCAAAGCCACAGTGTTTAGCCACGGCGTGGGCAACCTGCTGACAGAAAAGCCTGGGATGAGTATCAACACCGCCAGTCACAGGCGTGTGACTGTGATTACCATGGCACACTTGTTGTAAACACTTGAGTGCACTACAAGACGTTAGCAGTTGCCTCCGCAAGCGATGCGGAGAATCGAAGGCACACAAATCGTACACCACGGTAGTGGTGTTGGTGAGCTGGCGCACAGCAGGCATATGCCACAGGAAGCTGGACTGCGGATGCTCAATGGACCAGGCGATGCCCATTTGTTGAACTCGTTTTAAGAAGGTGATGACATGTTCCAACAAGGAGTCGGCCAATGCGAGCCTTTGAACCTGAGAGGCGTCGGCGCCTCCTACAGGAACTACAGATCCATGGGACAGTCGTCGGAGGCCCTGCTTAGGTCCATAGGTGGCATACGGCAGATCAATGTGCACGTACCGAACATGATAGTTGTCAAGCACATGCGAAAGATACTGCCACGAGCTCGGCAAGGCAAGATCCAGTGAGCACAACTTGGCCAACGGAAGCCGGTGACTTCCCCTATCTATGGGCATGACCTCAAAGCCAATCTGATGAAAGGCTCGGGACAAAGAGCCTGCACGGGCAAACAGCTCGAGCACAATACCAGGCTGGTCAACCGGCTTGGCCTGAACCTGACCAGTAGACACTACGGAATCTTCTACGGGGGCTAAACCCGACTTGGAGGAAGCTAGAGGCGGGGAAGTCACGGGTTGTGCGAGGCCGAGTGGTTTTGGAAACTCATCAGTAGCACACCCCCCGGTAACGACCGGCGCTTCATAGCAAACCGGAGGTGACTGTTCGGCATCAAGAATGTCGGCTTGCATCGGGAGCTGAAATTCCAAATCGGTCAGTGTAGCACTATCAGTCTCACTAAGGTGATCAATGGCGGAGACTGAAAAAGCAACTAACAACTAACACCACTCTATCACCCGACCAATTCCTAGTGGCGTGAGTCAAGCGTCGAGCGGTGAAGACGGCATGACTCCCATTCAAGCTGAGTTCGACTCCACTGCGTAGTTCGCCATCAACATCGCACCAAGCTTGGCCGCCTGGTCTCTCAACCCACACCTGTCCCTGATCGAAGTCAGACAATGCACACACAGCATTGGGCAAAGAAGAATTATGCGCATCCACATGAGGTGTGGTTTGAACGTTGCGAAAGAATGCTAAGCTCGTGAACTTTAAGCTGGGCAGCTGCTGTCGCACAAAGCGCGCGGCCAACTTTGTCACATTCGGGAAGAGCAAGACATTACGTCGCAGCCCAACCTTGACTCTGCAATAGGCACCTGTCGAGAAGGAGACCCCTTGTGATGGGTCACCTCGGACGGAAGCCTCTGTGGGGAGTGATTGGAAGATCTCAAGTAATAAATCAGTGGGGGAAACAACACCAGCATTGTTCAGCAGGGTCAGAGCTCGATCCTCGACCGAACCCTTGAATTCGTGATCAAGACTTGCGCTACTGATCGACTCAATTTCATCGATGGCCTTGACCTCATCAGCCTGAAGATTGGTTTGAAGTGAAACGCGTGCAATCTTGGGAGCAGGAGCCTGGGCCCCTAGTCACTCGGTATTGCGCTTTGGGCAGTTGGGGTAGAAGTGCCCGGGCTGGTAACAAAAGCAGCAAACGTGAGCACCCCTGAAGCACTTGTTGCCTGTCAATTGCCTAGTGCATTTGCCCCTCTGAGCATCAAAGCAAATGGGCACTCCTTTCGGGGTGTTTGCGTGCCCGTCCTTTAGGTCCTCTGGCATGGTCACCTCGCGGCGTGACGGTTGCTTACCCTTACCAGATCCTTTGCCCCGACCTTTGCCACGGCCATACGGAGTGGGTCTTTCAAAGGGAATCTTAGCGGGAGGAGGCGACGCGAGAGGAGCGAGCAAATGAGACACCTCGGTCAAATCGGCGCAACGCATCCACGCCTCGTCCAATGGACGACCGGTCTCCGTGACTTGCACTCCACTGCGACACTCATTAGCAGCGGTGACAAACAATTGCTTATCGGCTTGAAGCAGCTGCTGTATGCTGACTCGGGTGTATCCCGAAGGCACCTCACGATATCTGGAGTGCAACAGGCGCTCAGCCCATTTCTCATGTTCTTTGAAACCTAACAATCCGGCCTGTTCCATCGCGAGTCCTCGCCGAGTGAGGGCGAATTTCAGTAACAAGTCAGTGCTCAAGTCGGCCTCACCTCGAATGTCGGCGTTCTTGATGTGAACATTACCGCTATTGTCAACTGTGAGGGTACGATCCTCCTTGTCCCGGGAATTCCGAGTCTCATCGTCCTTGCTCATGCACCAACTCAGCGGAAGATATGTAAGGCGATTGTTTTCATACATTTGACAACACTTGTCCACTGACCTGTCACTCGGTTCATTAGGCCCGGCGATAGTCAAGCCTGGATACCGCACCACTTGACGAGCCAGACGATCTGCTCGATCAGGAGCGGCAAGGCTCCTCGCTGGTGCATCGGTGGTGCGCTCAACCTGAGATTTAAGCTCGGCCGCGACCAAAGCAAAGGCCTCAGAGTGCAATCGGCGCAGCACCGAAAGCTCCCCCACGGTAGCATCCCTCTTCAACAAGTCCTTTATGGAAGTCACAAAAGGACCCTCATCACTCTGACCCGGAATGAAGCTGCTCACATAAGCAAATTTGGCAAGAGTATTGACGCCACCATCGACAAGCAGCTGAATCACCTCAGCTTTCAAGCCGAGTTTCGCAGCCCGGGAGCTAAAATTGGCCTCACTCTCAGTAATACTCATGGTTCCAGCTTGAGCCGACCTGACTCTCGCGAACCCATGTGGTCCCCATCGTTGTTGATCACAACGATTTGCAAACAACTCTCTACCGACACTCACACATCGCAACGTCGCTCAAGAATTGTTTCGCCTCCACTAGTGTCGCGTCACCTTCAAAATCGCGATGCCACTGACATCCCATCACCGTGACACGCAGGGCCCATGGGCACACCGCACCGATGTGAAGTGTACAATCCTTGGCGCTGGCACGGTACACTGTTGCAACAGCATGTGGACAAAACGCACGGGGCCGACACGGCACACCGTGATCACGCCAGGACCGTCCCTTTCACATCATCAATGTTCTGTCGTGACGGGGTCTCGCTGACACACCGTTGACCCGACATGTGATACGACTCGGGGCAAAATGCACACCGATGACATTCTGACGCGGGGATAGCACACCGGCCATCGACCTCGGTCGGGGCCGCAACGGCACACCGTCCTCAGTATCCCTCTGTGTCACGCTCGCCAAACACAAATCTCAGCTCTGATCCCCTCTAACCTGCTCTCCAACAGCAGGCTCGACACTGGAATCTGTTTTGACAGAGTTGAAGCACCTGGCACACACAGGGTACAGAAACGATGGAACAGCTGCCACCTTCTCGTAGTTCTTCGTGCAGGTCCTGCCGCAAGATAGAGAAGTTCCGCCCTCGTCGGCAATCAAGTGCAGCATGCGTGAAGACCGATTGCGAACCAAGTGCTCTGCCTTCAACTCGCGCTTAGGCACTTCCTCACACCAGCCATCCACGACCCCGTCCAGCGCTCGCTCGAGCTCCTGACAATCGGTCTCGGCATCCTCTTCATCAAGAGACGCCTCTGAGGAAGCTTCGTAGTCGTAGCTGGCGTTGGGGTCGTCCTTCGTGGGGAAGTACCCGCTCCGGGTACTGTCCGGAACAAAAGTCCCTGACCTAATGGCCGCGAGGACTTTCTCGAGCACCCTGACCGATGCTGATACGGCATCGCGGCTGTATACTTGGGCGCTGCGGTCGCCCGGAGCCGTGTGATAACCCAACACTCTCTGATCATAGCTGTCGATGCCGAATCTGGCACACCAAGATAGACAAGTCGCTTTACATGAGTGCGTTCCAATGGGGGAACACTGAGCCTCAGAAAACCCGCACTTGCGGAGCACGTTTCTCAACCATCCAGCAGCGACCGAAGCACTCGGAGGGTGACTAGCCCAGTGTCCGGTGGTCAAAATCGCAGGCAGGACGGGCAGCCCCTCTCCAACAGGGACATTCAATTCCTTTCTCAGCATGGACCACGCCTGGAACCAATCTTCGCCAGCGATACCCTTGCGTGGACACACCATCGGCAGCAGCTGAGTTTTCCTCTCAGTGGTGTAAGATGTCTTGCTGCGTGCGATGTCGGCCTGAAGGTAGCCTCCAAGCCCAGACGGGTCGACCTGCGGCTTGTCCTCGCTGACATTGTACATGTTCTGTGTATCAGAATACCTGGCCCTCATAAAAATCGAGAGCAAGAAGAATCCAGCTATGAACCGATCAATGCGATCCCCATCGGGGGAAACTACAAACCTCTCAAGTCGCTGTACCATCTCAGTCGACAACGGTGGGCGCTGGACCCTCTTCCGCTTTGTCAAGTAGCATGCCCTGGCCACACCACTCAATCTCATGCTAGCCATCGCCTCCTGAGCGCTCTCCGCTCCAAGAATGAAGAAACAAAAGGTCACCGCACTCAGGAAGCTTTTGAGGAAACTCGGCGAGCATGTATGTTCGCACTCACAAGCAAACTCGTACATGTCATCCTCCTTGAATGGAAATGCCAAGACTGCATGCCTATCAGCCCATGCCACGTATCGTATGAGCGGATCAGCCCGACTGTGCAGAGTTCCAACTGCCTTACCTGCGAACACATGTCGCAGCGACCTTGACACTTGGACCCCGACAGGTGCTAATGACGTGACCTTCCGACCCACATCGAAAGACTGAGGGCTCCTGAGTACAAGAGCAGTCCACTTCCGAACGGCCGCCACCAGTCTCTTCTCGGTCTGGTTCTCCCAAGAAATATCATGACGTACACGAGAGAATCGATGTGCAAAAGAGACAGCCGGCTGTTTGGGAACCGGAACAGAAATGTTGCTGCTCACAGGAATGAGGGGTAGTGGCCCCCTTCCCAAACGTACACTGAAATCAAGCAAGCTATTTCGAAATTCAGGTGTCTCCCAAGGCATCCTAAAAGCCGAGCCCTGAGAAGTTCGCAAACATGTGCTGAGATGAGCATCGTAAGCAGAGTCCCTGGCCGTCCTCTGCCTCTTTGCACTTTCTTCGGATGCCATCCTTCAAGTGCTGCAGGCCACCGCTCGCCCCTAAAACTCGGCCCAAGCACTAACGCAATGGTTCTGCCTCGGGCTGCGAATCAAGAGCAGGTTGGGCACAGAAGAAGCTAGCACGGATTTGCCAGCTTGCGTGAAGAATTTGCAGGCGCTCAACAGAGGAAAGGCAGGCCCAAATCAAGCTGGCAATATCTCTCAGCTGAATTGTCCTGGCCAAAGCGGCCTGCATGGCTGGGCCCACCTCTATAGTCGAGACCCATCTCCCACTCTTGAGCAGCAATGTAACACGACGTGGACATTTCACATGCTGTTCAAGGAAATTTCTTCTCTCAAGAAATCACTGCTCGAAAATACATTGCTTAAAGTGGGAGAGGCAGCACACGGGTTAGGGCATTAAGGTTTTTGAGTTTTCTTCGCTCGCCGCCACGGCGGCTCGTCACGAACGCAAAAAGGTACTAGCTGTCGTCGCAGGCTAGACAGCACAGGTACTGGCAGCAGAAAGACCGCCCTGACCTAGCTAAAGAGCGCCGAGACCGCCACCTTCCAGGACGGCAGTCGCACAGCCCCCAAAACTTAAGATCTCCTTGCCGAAGAGACCATTCTGCCCTCCAGCAGATATCATAAGAATGCCAAAATGGACCAAAAAGAAGCGCAAGCAGCGAGCCGAGTTGCCGATTTGCCTGGCTTGGGAGCTGAGATGCTATGCAAACCGGCTGGGAAGTCGATGAATCCTTAGGCAGCACGACGACGGCGCAAAGAAGCAGCAAAGCGGCGAGAAAACTTGCCCTGCAGCACCAAATGAAGAGTACGGCGGTAGTTCCGCAAAGCAAAAGCCTCCAGACTCTCTGCATGGTACAGCCGTTGACCTCCAGATCGTAAGTGGATGGTAACACCAACCACATGCCACGCTGGCCAGATCCCACCAGCCTCCTGGCATGTCGCTGCAGCAGAATTAAGTATCGACGTGAGCGACTGATCGCTAGCCCAGGAAACGGAGCTTGTCAAAATGCCGTCCATGACAACCCCAGCATCACCAGCAACAGGAGGGGCGAGTCGCTCCCTGGCACGGAGCTCTGCTGCCCACCGTTTCCCAATGGCCTCGGCCTGGCGAGCCTCCTGACAGGGAGACTCGCAGACAACCAGCTCATCACCAGATGCATCTGCAGCTGGGAAGATATCCCCTCCAGGAAAAAGGTCAGAATGACGATGCTCATTGGTGTCGCTGGGCGACGACACGTGGCTGCGTGCCACCCGATCGGAGCCAGCACCCAAAAACTCCTCTGTAGCGCCACCAGAAGTCCCCGACCCAGTATCTTGCAGCATACCTGGAAATACATCGGAGATGAACCCAGCCGCCGGTGAATCCTCAGCAGAAGCCATTACAGATCTAACGCCCCAAATATACCCGCTGCAATCGTCGGCGATCTCCTTCAGCTAAGTCTGAAATGGACAGCAAGAGCACCCGCAATGTCCGAGAGCAGTTCTGCAAAGCACCACTGTCCGAGAGGCCTAAAGACAGCAGTATGTAGCTCGAAGTCCTTGTGCCCCCAAAGAATTGATGCAATTCCAGACCCAGCACCGCAGATCTCCAGCCCGTGACCTCAAGGCTCTCGTGCAACAACACGATTATCAGCCTCCTGCGAGGCACTGGTGCCGCCGCGCGCATGGGCGACTCCAAACGGAGCCCTAGTCAGCTGAATATACCGACAATTAAGCATGATCTGTGTGCAAGTGGAAAGCAGCTGTGCAGTCTACACTGACCAACCGACATGAAGCAACATCTCCATAATGCTGATCCATGTCAAAACGCCGAGAAAAAAGTTGAAGCTCGATCTGGAGCCGCCAAGCTTCAGCATTCGAGATGCATCGCCCTGCTCCAATCTCAAGACAAGCCGCATGCAAAATGAGGGAATACAAAATTGGAAAACACGGACCGCAAGGAAAACAAAATGGTTTGATATTTAAACAGGATCGAGTAAACACGATAGCCTAACCCCGTCAGATGCGGATTGGAGGAACCATGTCCCCCCCCCCCCGCAGCTGTTGCCAGGTGTTGGAGCTGCGACTTCCGAGGAGTGGATGGATGGCTGTTGCCTTGACACATGCGCTCATGGGATCGACCGGGAACACAAGGCGGCTCCACATTAGGACACCGGCTTTCATGGGCTAGTGGTGCGGCGGAAGAAGGCATGCAGCCCAATGCACTGACGCTTTGCTACGCCATGTTCCTTTGCCGCTGTGCGCTTAAGGTGTGCTCGGCGAGCAGTGTGCTCAGGAGCAGGAAAGTGACGGGCTCTGCGGCAGCCGACCGTGGGCCTCCCCGGTGTACGGGCCGTGGGGCAAGGAGGGCGGTAGTCAAGGGCGAGATGCTCAACAAGCTCCTGGTGAGGTTTGGTGAGATCAGTGACACGCACGAGCTCCTCCGGGTGCGGCAAATGTCGCATGATACTGCCAGTCGCCTCATGGAGAAGTTGTCGGAGTTCGACTGCGACGGCCTGCTGCAGCACCGGTACACAGATAGAGCTATCAGCCGCGCGGACATACATGCCGTCATGAAGCCAAACGACACCTTGTGCTACGTCGGGCAATAAGGCACTGAGCAACGCCCGGGCTAAGCGGCCCTCGACTGCCTCGAGCACGAAGTAAACCCAGTTGCCCGATGTGGATCGCTGATCTCGCTGATACCATAAAGCATGTCCACTGGCCTCTGGGGTTAGGTTCAGGGTACAAAGTGCCGGTGCCAAAGGCGACACCGACGGGTATACCCCGCCATACTTAGAGAACAACAGATCCCAAGCAAATAGCGTGTTTTTTGCCGCTATGTCTGCAACAACGATCAGTCGAAGATAGCTGCAGGCTTCGCCGAAGGCAGCACGACAACCTGCGTGGGACAGTGAATATCATGTGCATGGAGTGTTTTTTTAATGGTATGCAGCTTTTTTACTAGTAACTCACTAACTTGCGTGTGCACACTGCAGAAGAAGTATGTTTTTTTGTTTGATATCAGTAACAAATATTACAGCAGGATGGTGTGGCAGGTGATGGACATATTGTTATGATGCAGCCGCTTCTGATGTTGATGATGGTGATGTGTAGCAGTAACAACAATAATGCCTCAATGCCCAGGGTGATAGTGTTGTGCTGCATTTGATGCTGTTGGCGACTGGAAATTTACGATTATGAAGACCATGAATGTTGATCATGATGATGACTGCTGCGAGGGTGACGATGATGATGGTGATGGTGATGGCGTTGATTATGATAATGACGACGAGCATGATGATGGTGATGAGGCTGATTCAAGGGTGATGGTGACGATGAGAATGATGATGGCGATGCCGATGACCATGGTGATGATGACGATGGTGATGATAGTGTACTAATGATGAACGACAATGATGATGACATCGATGATAGCGAGCGGTGGCGCTGGCGATGTTGGCGGTCCAGGTCGGACCAGCAGTATCAGCAGTTCTGAAACAGTGTGAAACAACCCGTGAACCCAGTGACTGTGAAACTGTGAACCGTCGCTTCTGTGGATTATGTCTCTTGTTTGTCTATGAGTCTATGCTTGTCTTATGCATGTCTCACCTTATGTCTCACCGTCTCACCGTCTCACCTGTCTCTCTGTGTCATGTGCCTCACCGCCTCACCTTATGTCTCACCGTCTCACATGTCTCACTGTCTCACTGTCTCATGTGCAAGCAGTGCAAGCATCTCACAACTTTTTTAGCATCTCGCAAGGCTCGGCGTCAGGATCAGCTCGCATAGCTTCGGGCGGACGACGCTGGAGAAGACTCGATATCGTCTCCTCGGATGTGCGGCGGATAGCGTTTGATTGATCTCGCTCTCGGTCGATCTCTCTCTTTTATTTCTCCCTCGTCGCTCGCTCGACAGTCAGCTCATGTTGCTGCCACGTGGCCTGCCTCTGCTGTGTTTGCCGTGGTAGTGGTTGCTGCTTCACGCGGTAGACATTGGAGTCCATGTGGATACACATTGAGATACGATTCGATAACATCCCAGAAGCCTTTGCAGCTACCTTTCAATCTGGAGTTTATCTCCGGGCAGGCGACATATAAATGCACCAGGATGTAGTCCCTTGCGACGGCGCTGTGCTGAAGGAGAGATAGCAGATCTCGGTGAGGAGCAGCAGCCATGGAAAGGATGGAGTGATGGAGTTGATTTCGAGCCAGAATCTTATGCATACATATATGTTACATGTTGATGTCGTTGTTGTTGCTGTTGCTGTTGCTGCAACGCTGTGAAACTGTGAAACTGTAAGAAGATTGTGAAACAGTGAAACGGTGTGAAACTAGTGTGAAACGATGAAGCGGTACAAACCCTCACTGTCATGCAGCCTCTCCGCCTCTGTCTCTCACTGCCTCAGTGTCTGAGTGTATGCCTATGCAGAAACATTTCCAGCTTCCGTGGTGCGCGTGTCGTGCATCGTGCAAGTGAGAAGGTCTGCACAGTGAAACACTTAGACGCTGCAGGGCCCAAACCAGTGTGCACGTAGCACGTATGAACGTATAATTGAAGCGAATGAAACAGAAACAGAAACATAGTTAATGACATGATACGACATGTGAACCTCTCAAACACTGCACTGGCCTGCACCTGGGCGCCGCGTGGCTTGTGGGTCAATGACTGTAGGTCACTGAAAGCGACTATTCGGGATATCATCGATATCAGACATCAAAGGCTCGGATGCATTCACGTGCAACCGTGCAAAAGTGCAACACATCAATCATACATCAACCTACTTCGTCAAATGCTTTGCATTTGCGTTCACACGTGGCTTCTTTGTCGGCGAGCTCTTGGTCAAGCGGCTCACAGCTGACGTTGTTGTGCCAATACCGCCGAAAAGGCCTAACTTGCGAAGGGCCTCGTTGGCAAGGGGCCAATCTTCCTCCGCCAGATGCGCCTGGCCAGGGTATGCTCGCTTTGTGCCCTTTTTTGGTTTCCACTCTTCTCCTGGCAGATGCTCCCTCATGAGCACGAGGAAGGCATCTCCGTCGATGACTTTGATCAGGACTGGCGTCAAACCAGCGTCCTCTCCGTCGTCGGTAAAGCGGAGGACTGGAACCGAGTACTTGATTGTCGTGCTCGTGTAGATCATTTGGCATGGGAGCTCTCCGATAATCAGCGCTGGGCGAGCTAGGTCCGTGGGCGGGATCATCCAGGTTGCACAAGGAGTCTCACTCTCCAAGGTATCGAAGTTATTGCCCCTGATAAAGAACTCCAATTCACACTCGTCGTCTCCGCAATCATCACCGTCACCACTGCCGCCAATACCTGATGTCTACTTTATCGAAATCGATATTCGACTATTCGACTCAGTTGGTGCAACAAACAAACGGCGTTTAATGGTCGCATAGTGTCGATGCTTCAGTGGCTGATCCGGATCACCCTGCACGGTGACTTCGAGTGGCGTTAACGTCATCACTCTTGGCGGTTTCTGCACGACGGGGGCAGTGGTGCCTGACACTGAGATTGATAGTTGATGATGACATGATGACTGATGACAGCCATGAAACCGCGACTTCTAATCTACACTGTAATCTACATGACGCCAGTGTTCGGTGCGTGATGACAGTCAGTTGTCTGTCTATCGTCCATCGAGCGACAAACGTCGCCCCAGAAGCACAGCTTGAATTTATCTCTGAGCTCCGGCGTGGTCACCTCATCCAGTCTTGCCCGCACACCGTCTTGTCCTTGCGACAAGTCCTTGTAGTTGTCAATGATGTTAGTGACCTGTTGTGTCTTTGGCAAACGCAGCAGCACTTCTGTTGACTTGACTTTCTTGTCACCCTTCTCAATTTCCTTGACACAGAAGGTCACGGCACCACTGCAACCGTTGCGATCTTCGTAGCTCCTGTGTGGCTTTGCATTGTTGAATTCCTTGATTCTTTAACCCGCACGGCTTCGGTCGCAAACAGGATCCCTGATGTGCCTGCAATGCCCGCACCTTTCTTGGCATGATCCGTTGCCAGCACACTCAGCGCACGATAAGAAACCATCCGAGTCCCGTCCCCGTCACCTTTGGAGCTCGAAGCTGCACCTGCGGCTGGGGTGCTTGCCTGACCAGCAGCGGTCGAAGATTCCTGCACAGGTTGAACGGCTGATGGAGCGTCCTCGGTAAGTTCCTCGATGGTTACCTTGCCTTTTCGAATAAGCTCCATCAGTCCACTGGCATACCCACTGGCAAGACTGGCAACATCGAATGGAGTACACATGGCATCCATATGTGCAAACACCCCTATGTGCGATTGGATCAGTGTCATCAGCCTCTCGCCAGAGATCTCACCACAGCGACCCTCCAGAGTCTGATGGCACAAGGACAAAATATAGAAGCACCGGAGGCGTGCTAGGCTGGTCACGCCAGAAGGTGTTAGGATCTTTTTGAACAGATCGTTCCTAGCATGATCCTTGAGGACTGCTGGTAGGGCATCCCAGTTGCCCACTAGGTGTTGGCCAAGGATTTGGCCAGTGGCAACCACAGCTGCAGGCAGGACGGCGAGTACCGATGAGCATGCGTGAAATGCCACGTCCGCAATGTCCGCGACCGCTTGATGGAGCAAACAACTCTCCTGGTTCGTCCTGCTGCGCTGACTCTGGCACACGACATGTGCAGTGACCGGAAGAAACAACAATCACATACAACAACACCAGCGGCAACAAGAACAAGTCTACAACTACACCGAAAGCTGAAGCAGTGAAACATGTGTACCTTGTATGTGCAGGTGTTCACACAAAGGCACACACAACGTCAGGAGTCCTATTCTCGCCGCAGGAACACATGTCGGTCCATTCGCCGTAAATCTTGTTGTAGGTCAGGTGATGCATGATGTTGTCAAACATGGATTTGTCGCGCGGTGGCTGCTCGAGAGGATTCTCGGTGCGTGTGGCACCCATCTCCAGGTCGAGCCACGTGAGGAAATCGCCGATGAGAGGTTCCACGGACTGTGCAGCCAGTGCATTCTGGACTGTTGCCGCTGGTGTGGTGGTGGCTGCCGAACTCGACATGGCATGGTGTTGGTGTGCATGCGACCCAGCACTGGCACTTGAGAGAGCTTCGGACACCTGCTGCGTGTCGGAGGACGATACAAACCCTTGCTCCAAACCGGCCGCACAGATAAGCTTGTCGGAGTATGCCGCCGCAACCTGTGTGTGGGTGTGTGTGTGTGTGTGCGTGTGTGTGTGTGCGCGTGCGAGACTGTGACTGTGGATGCGCAAACAAACGCAAAAGGAAGAAACAGTTGTTGCCCTGCCTTGTGGTACTCATTCATTGCGTAGATCTGCAGTTGAGGTCTCAACGTAGACCATTTCTTGTGTTTTTTCCCATCCAACACAACCTCTCGCTCACATGCGAAGAATATGCCCCGGCGGATGCATTGTTCCATGATACGACACTCTACTGAACTGTACACCGGCATATCGGTTCCCATGTAATCGGCGGCTGCGGCGCTGTCAGAGTCTCTGATAACTCCCCATTTGCGTCTGCAAGCTAACAAAGACGACCTGATTGCCATCACCAAGCAATCCACGAAGTATTTGTCCCGCACGAGCTTGCCACCCTGCACTGAGTCGACAACGACAGCACTGTCAAGCTTGCTGCTGTCCTCGATTCCCTGGGTCTTGGCGGATGATTTCGCTTTTGCTTTACCCTTAGCTTTCGCTTTGCCCGCAGCTTTCTTTGCCTGTGCATCTCCCGTTGCTTCCGTCAGCACTGTGATTGCATCTTTGGTGTTTTTCTTTGCCTGCTTCTGAGCATTGATCTTCTCCTGCAGCTGAAACACCTTCCCTGTCAATGGAGTCATAAGCAAAGCCACCTCGCCAGCGCACGAAGCACCCTTCTTGAACAGCCACTTCATCCCCGGCTGCTCCAGCGGCATCTCGGTGTGGGGCAACACAAGCGTGACAGGAGTTACGAACAACAACAACAACAACAACAACAACAACAACAACAACAACAACAACAACAACAACAACAACAACAACAACAACAACAACAACAACAACAACAACAACAACAACAACAACAACAACAACAACAACAACAACAACAACAACAACAACAACAACAACAACAACAACAACAACAACAACAACAACAACAACAACAACAACAACAACAACAACAACAACAACAACAACAACAACAACAACAACAACAACAACAACAACAACAACAAACAACAACAACAACAACAACAACAACAACAATTTTTTATTGGACGCTGAGCGAGCGGGCTCTGCTCATTGCGGGCGTGTGAGACTGCCTTTGCACCTGAACAAAGGTCTGAGAGCAGAAATGCTAAGGGCCTGGGCCTGAAAGCGCTGAAACAGGCTACCGTGAAGAGAGCTACCCTACAAGCTACCTCAAAAGCCGGTTCATGCGTCTCAGGCGTGGGTGAGAAACCCTCCGTCACCCTCAGTGTGGACTATGGCGTCCCATGTCCACGGACCGATGATTGATGAGCCGTACCCCCTCGGGACCGTCACTCAGAGTGCCTGTTGCGTGGCGTCCCACTCATGGTCACTCTCAATCAAAGGCGATGGGCCGTAAGGTCGCAAAGGTGATGAGCATGTGGAACGGCTGCTAGTGTTGTTATCTGAGGCCGCTCCGCTTTTGTGGGCAAGCAGATTGCATCGGTGAACGATGTGGCACACCCTGGCGGTAAGCACACTGTGCCTAATAAGGCTAACCTTATTCGTAAGAGGCGTACTCCCCTCCAGAGGCCAGGCTTGCCGGCAATGGCTTGGGGGCCTCGGACAACCCCCCATTCTCGAGCCGAGAATGGGGGGTTGCAAAACCTTGATTTTTAGGCCTCGGACAAACCCCCCTTCTCGAGCCGAGAATGGGGGTTTGTAAAGCCGATTTCAGCCATTGGTCAGCTGTGTTGCTGACAGGCGTTGCCTTTCTGGGAAAGCAGCGAGCGTTGCCCGACTAGCATGACAGGTATAGGCCGCTATTGCACACAAACGCTGAGTAGTGGAGCTACGTCAGCTGTACGACTTGAGCAGCAAAACTGAACAACAGCGTTCCTGCTCCCTGCCGTGTAGGCAGGTCGGTCCCACAGAGCCAGTAGGTCGCCCCCTTCCTGCAAGGGGAAGTAGGGGCCCCTGGCCTCAGGGGAACCCTCAGCTTAATCATCTGAAACTTGGACTGGCATAGGGCCAGCCTCCGCTGTGTGCGGTATTGAACCAAGTCGCACGAACAGCACATAGCAGCCGTGGCGTGCCTGCCTGAGATCTGAATCTGAGGCCTGAACCGACGGACGACCATCGTCCGTGCTGAGCCAAGGTTGATCGGGGTTGCTCCTCCAGAGGGAGCGATAATGTCCACTGTGCGGGGTGTCACCTATGTGGAAGATACAGGACTGAACCCATCCTTTCTCTAGTTGTACGGAGCCCGTCGGGGCCCACTGCGAGAGCTGAAGGGGGTGGTGCAGACCAGTGACAGCATAGCTGAGCTTGCGGCCTTCAACAAATCGCGCCACTGTGAGAACCACCAGTCGTTGCTGCCCTCGAAAGGCGGTGTGCACCGGCTGGCCAGACCACCGAGAGAGCAGCTCCTGAAGTGCATGGGATCCACCTGTCGTTGGAGCTGGCAGCAAAGCGAGCGGACCTCCCGCATCGGTGACCTCAGTAGTGTTTACATCCCTGACTTCCCAGGGTCGTGCAATCGGAAAGGCGGTAATGCCTGCAAATAAGGCCACTAGAAACTCCGAAGCATCTTGTTGTTGGCCATCATAGCGCCAAGCGGGAGTAAGATGGCGAAGCGTGAAAGAGGCAGTCAGGGTGAAAGGAGAACCAGAGACAGAATCAGCCACTTCCTGATGGAGGGAGGTGCTTGCCCCTCCGTGCTCCAGCAAGATGCACGTCGGCACCAGGGCCGAAAGCGTTGAGTTAACATAGCAGTAGTTGGAGATGTTGCGCAGCGAGCGAGGAGCAGCGAGCGCGCCGTCCTTTGATTCTACTGTCCCTGACTTCGGTGGCAGGGGGCCTGCAGGCGTTGCCTGGCGAGTCTGGGGCGTTGCTCCAACAGCGGTGGTATCGTCCCGTGTGGGTGCGTTGCCTTGTGTCGTGCCAACCGCTGGCATGTACCTGCGTAACGGTCCGCCCTGGCAGCGGGAAAGTGCATGAACCAAGTCATAAAACAGAATCTGAAAAAGGATCGGACATTGTGCCGGATGCTGCCTCTTATCCGTAACAGGCTTGCGGCAGCACGGGCAAGGCATGCCCTTGACAAGGGTCAGGCCTGATTTGCTGCTCTGAGTTGCAGCTGTAGCGCCATGAGCCGCCCATTCAGGTTTGTGGGCCTGCCGGATGTGAGACTTGAGCTTGGTATTGTCCGGGGTCCAGAACCCACACAGCAAGCAATGTGACATAAGGTCCTGAGACTCATCAGATCGTCCGAGCTCCACAGCCGTGTGTGTTGTCAGAGTGTCATGCAAGCGCTGCTGCCTGGGATGCAATCTGGGCTGATGCTGCGAATCCAAGGGAGGGTGCGCCGCGTCATCCAGCTCCTGTAGCCTAGCTGGCTCCGAGCAGGCACCTGATAGCAAGTGGTCCTTTAAGCCCTTCATCTGAGGGAATTGCCTGTTGCAGGCCGCACACTTGGGGAGCCCTCCTACAGAGAGGGTGTGGGAGAAGCCTCGAGGGACATATCTGATGACCGAGCCTGGATGCTTGCGGGCCTGGTGGGTGCGAAGACCGACCTCAGTGTCGAAGGCCTGAGCACACGTTGGGCACACGAAGGACGGGGGGGCCTCCTGCTGTGATGTGTCCTTAGAAAGTTGCTGCAGAACGTCTGCATAACTAGTAGAGAGTGCCTCCGCCTGGAGAAGCGCGCGCTGGGTTAAAGAGATGTCCCCCGCAGGAGTTTTCCGCCGTCGAGCACCTAAGCGCTTGACACGATTGGCCTGTCGCGCCTGCAGCTTACGGACAGGGTCCATGATCTCATGGGAGGCGTAGAGGTCAGCCGCGGATATGTGTGTCAGGTGCGCTGGCTTGTTCAGGACAGCTCGAATTTTGCGAGCGTGCCAAGCCCGCAACAGTTTAGCTGTCTCTAGGGTCAAGCCCACATCCACCAATCCAGAGGCTACTGTGGCCCAGACAGTGCTATGCCAAATGTGCAACCGCGATGCAGGCCCCGCCGTTCGTCTGTTGTGAACGAAGCGGCGTACCTGCTGCAATTTCACATTGCCCTCCTGCAACCGGAACTTGAGAGTAGCCTTCTCGAAGTTGGAGTAGGAGAGCATGACGCCGAGATACTTAAAGGACGTCACCAGCGGAAAGCCCTCGTGAGACTTGGACTCTCCCAGTCTCCACATCTTATGGCGGGTTCCGTCAGGCGCGGTGCGCCAATAAGTGTGCTTGGAGATGGCGCGTTGCGCCTGTTGGCCCTCGAGTTTGACCATAACAGTGCATTTTGCACCGTTGACAGCAAATCCATGGCGACGGACCAACTGCAACAATTGCTCAATCAGAGCATGAGCGCGATCCAGGTCCTCCATTGAGTGGATGTCACGGTGAACCGTAAGGTCATCTGCGTAGCCCGTGAGGTAGTCCACCACGGCTCGAACCCCAACAAGAGCTATGAGCTCCCGGAAGATGGTGCCCGTAAGCATGGAAAAAAGTGTGGGGGCAAGCTTACACCCCTGTTTAATGCCCGCAGTGGACTGGACCGTGTCCTCTTCACCCTGGGTGCGAAACGTGTAAGCACTGCCAGCATGCAATGAGGCAACTAGGTCAATGAGGTCTTGCGGGACTCCCGCTTCCTGCAGTGTGCTAAGCAAGTCTGTTCTGCTCACCATGTCAAAGGCTTGTGACAAGTCTAGTGCAAAGCAGATGCCACCTACTAGCTGGGGACGAGTTCGTCCCGAGTGAAGCTGATGCCTGGTTCGTCGGGCCTCCTGGCAGTTATTGCGTACCTGAGTGACATGACCAACGACCCTGCTCAAGGCATCTGAAAGACCGCGATGTGGCTGGTAGGCAAATTGTGGGAGACCCCGAAGATAGTCAGCCGTGTAGGGAGACAGCTGATCTCTACAAGCCCCCGCCAGGCCCTTGCCGTCTGGTCGAATGATGCCGAGGGGACGTAGATTGCCAGGCTTCGTGGCCGGCTTGTTAGGCTTTGGGATAAAACACAAGTCAGCATCCTTTAAGGGCGGCTGAAGTACCTCAGCAGCCGGCAATGGGCGTTGCCCCCGAGATTGCAGCGATGCTGCTAGCGCCTCTCCCGCAGCCGCCGAGCAGAGCCGCCAGGCAGCCGCCGGAGCAGAGCCTTGCGGTACCGCCTTGTGCGGTCTGATGGAGCCTATGTGCTTGGCCAGCAGACCAGCCGGGATTTCCGGCAGCGAGTCCACCTGGTGTGCGAGTGGCGGATGTCTGGCAAAGACCTGTTCCACGTGGTCTCTAAGCAGGCGGAGCTCAGAGGGCGGAGCTCAGAGGTGAGTCCAACAGCAGACCATCCGGTCCCTGAAGCTGTGCCTTAGTTTGGGGTTCCCAAGGTCGGAGCTTCTTTAAGGTCTTATGTGCGATGTAGGAATCGTGTCTGGCACACGGCTCATCGACCTCAGCCTGGAAAGCTCGGTGTCGTTCCTTCTTGGCTAGTAGAGAGCCTGCTTATGCCATCGATTCAGGTCCTCCAAAGACTGATCTAGGTCGGATAAGGTGGTTATGGAGTCCTCATGCAAAGAACGAATATGAGCGACTCGACTCCACATTCGCAGCGTCGCACGGTGCTGAGCAGTTTCAGGAGCTTGCTGAGGCCGTGGTTTGGGGAAAAACAGTGCAGAGGCCTCCAGCAGTACCTGATTAACTTCATCAGGCGTGTGAGTCCGAGAGGACAGACGCTGGCCCACCCAGTCTTGCATGCGACCGGCTA